TTGTTTCCCTACTTTTTAATGTCAACTCTAAATTTGACTAATCTTTCAAAGAAATAAATCTACTATATACTAACAATAAATGCGAACATACTACAAGTAGATTCGTAAATATAAACATACTACAAGTAAATCAAACATATATTTAATAAATCTGATATATCAACATAAATTTCATACTTACGGCCATTCCAATTCACAAACTCATAATCATATGCAAATCAAACAACATGAATTCACAAATTACAGTATAAGCAAAATAATACATCATCTGCTACTTGACCTTTTGCACTTAGCTCTATACTATTTTTTCAGAGACCAGACAGTTTCGCTATACCAATCAAGCCAATAAATTCATACATTATAACAACATAAGCAACATAAATAGTATAAACATAAGTAATATAACATAAACATGGTAATAAAACAACATAGGCAATGTAACTCATCAGTAAAATAAACAATATGAGCAGCATAAACACTTCCTGCTACCTAACCTTTTTGCTTTTAGTACCACAACTACTCTTTTGAGGGGCAGTTTCAGGAATCATGATACCATGACTTACACATAGCACATTGCCACTTATTTTTCCTTTTTGACCCCAATTCTGATATTTCATCTTGAATGCTGGGACAAACACGTTTATTGCTATGGTCCTCAATTGCGGACAAGTATCTCTTATGTGCAGGACGTCCCTTACCTTTATGTAGAGTTGGATTTGAAATGTTAAAATTATCAACTTCTTGACCTAAACCTTGTTGAGATTGTCTGGAAGCAGTGTTATTATGTGTGAAATTTGTTCACTAATGAATTGTTGCAAAACATCTTCCAAAGCCTTATTGGTACCATTCATAATCGCTAAATTCAACGCTTTTTTGCAAATGCCGAGACCATGGCCATAGAGAACCTTTTTTGAGTCTGAATCCACAGCAGCCTTATTATTAATTTCTTGTTCACAGATCTTTTCTAATGCTTGAAATGTATTACTTGAAATTGGGATATCATCACTTTGTACTAACTGAACAGATGATTCTTGGTTTTTATCAAACAGTAAGAGACCTTCTTCAGAATACCAACGAGAGGGTATCAATTTCATATTAAAAAGTGACTTTTTTGATTGGATCATCACAGCAAAAAAATGACAACAAACGAATCCGGCATATATTAAATAGAGACATGTGCAATAGTGCGTACCATTATCAAGTAATAAGACAAATTGTGAATGATTAGTTGTACTTTGAATATGTTTGACTTCCCAAATTTTATTTATATTGCTTCCGGAACAATCCTCCAAGCCTATGTCTAGTAAGATTTGTGATTCTTTGTAATCATCTTCTATAAATCCTGCATTATGATGATGATTTAACATCTAACCAAATAATATGTATATAAGTCTTTAGTCATTAAGTTTGGCTAAAAATGGGCAAAATGCATATTTTGCCTATCACCATGCAGATTATGATTACAC